GTTGCTAAGAAAACGCTGACCACAGCTTGCCTCTCGTCTACCCCATGACAAACACTTGCCAATTGCTGTCTAGCGGCCCTGTGCTGGCGCCTGATGACACTCAGGTGAACGAGCTGTCAAGGCCCTCATGAAGCCACGTGCAGACTGGGAAAGACCAAAAGATATGTAACAGAGTAAGACCACTTCTGATGCAAAAGGACATGCCTGGCCCGCATCCTGGAGTTCTAACTCAGGGGAAAGTCGCAAAACACCTGTGGGACCTGCCAGCCCAATGGCTCCGGGACCATAAGAAGACAGTACATGACAATGTGCCCACTGAGCAGGACATGAGGACAAGTACAGAGGTAAGAGAAGACAGTAACACTCAGCGGCTGCAGTCAGCAGGGCAGCCTTCAGGGGAGGGTCAGAATTTCAAGGACAGAGCCGGCATCTGGCTGGGCAGGAAGAAGGGGGAGCTCGAATGGGCACATGAAACGTGTGTGTCCTAAGAGAGAAGGACTATCGCCATAAAATGCACTTGGATGACAGCAGGCTGCCACCATAACTCACCAAAGGACAGTAGACCCTGCGTGGACGTCCACCTCCAGTAGGTACTCCTCCAATCCGCTTGGCCAACTGCAGCCAGTCCATAACCCTCCTCTGCTGAAAAACTTCCCATGGCTCTGTGCTGTTTACAGCCTAAATTCCAAATCCCCTACGTGCTTTACAAGGCCCAGAGGGACCGGGCTCTGGCGACCTCTCCCGCCTCATGGCTCTGTGATCGGTCCTACACCTCCCCCTGCCCCATAGACTCCCTTACTGAGCCAACATGTGGCCCGCCCCACCTGGATCTTCTCAAACACCATTTCCTCTGCCTCAAACCTCCTTCCTTCCACCCTATTCCCTACTGCCTGGTGACAACACCTCATCCTTAAGTCTCCGTCAAAGTCTGGAGTGTCTGCCTACCAAGGATGTTTCTGACCCCCATGCTCCCAAACTAGACAGATGGTACAGAGTCTGAGCACTTCGAAGGCCTGACAGAACTTAGCCTTGACATAGAGAGTGCCTAGGACCATTCTGTGTGACATGGCAAACCTGACATTTTAAGAAAACCCATATGGCAATACTGTACCCCAAGCTCTAAAACTGTCAGTGCTAGCTCAGCCGAAGTTGAATATACCAAGAGTAGGTGAGTGCCTACTTGCCAGGGATACATTCCTCACCTTCTTTGGACAGTAACCCCCGATTCTCCCATGGGGAACTGCCCCTTCCTCTCACTGTCAGCCCACTAGCTTGGGGGGAGCGGATCTCACTTTGGCTCCAGATGAGGGCATGTGACTGAGGCTTGGCCAGTTAGAGTACCCCATGCCCCTGGCCGTAGTGACCGCTCAGGGATGGCCTGAGCCTCAGGTCGGTCCCGCCAATGATACTCGCTTCTGGACTTCCATGGGCAGTACTAAGAAAAGCAGTTGGCTTCTTCCCAGGGGTTGCTAGGCTGAGATGACGTTAGTCTGGAGCCTGCCTGAGAATGACACCAACGTGGATGGAGGCAGGCTCCGGACAGCTTCATCTAAATGCCTGCATTCGGCCATGGTGAGCAGGACAGGGCATTCAGGGACAGGAGCTACCCAATTCCATGTGGGGCTTAAGGCAATACCAGCTAGGTTTCTGTCACTTGCAACCAAGAATCTTGACCCTCACACAAAGGTGACCAAGGCGAAACAACACAACAGCAGCCATGTTCTGTCAGTTGTGGGCTTCAGTCCTTGGTAAAGACATTTCAGTAGCAATCAAACAACTCTATCAGTAAAGTTCTGCTGAAGATGGGCATCTGCCACTCAGTGTCACAGCCTTGTCACTAGTCTGGGCAATAAACCACCCAAGATGTGTGGCAAATAACCTTCTGACTATTCCAGGCTGCCTCAACTAAATCTCCAACTAGCAAAAATAACACCATAGCAGGAAAATTCCTTTCCAGGTTGCAAGCTGGGAGTGTTATGAAAATAATAATGCAGTTTTAAAAGGGTTTCTAGTTCTCTGTACTATCTTCTCAATCTTTCTGTAAATCTCAAATTGTTCTTAAAAATAAAGTCTATCAAAAGAGGATGGTTCCCTGATACTTTGGTTATAAAAAAAATTATCCATTCCAAATTATTTTAAATATCTTAATCTCTCCTCTCCACCCACAATGCCCTAGGTCAGGGCAAGAGTGTTTTAGAAACTGTCACTTGTCACTGGTAGGGTGGCCAGTTTGCACTGGTTTGCCCAGGACTTTCTCAGCTTTAGCATTGAAGGTCCCATGTTCCGGGAAACTCCTCAGTCTCAGGTAAGCCAAAACGGTTGGTCACCCTAAGTGTGAGATAAATCCCAAGCCCCTTCCTGCCTCCAGTCTTATTTCCCACAACGGCCACAAACCCCAGGTTCTGGGTATGGTGCTCTGCCTCCTGTACCCCACAGCCCCACATAGTGGCTCCTGCCCATCCCTCGAGACTCCACCTAGTGTTGCCTCCTCCAGAAAGTGTCCAAGGAGGGTCCCACAGAACCTGGGCCTGTGGTCCTAGCACCTGTCACACGCACAGTCATTGGCTCCATGGCTGCTTCCCCCACCAGCCTGCAAATGCCCTCAGGGAATGAGCTGTTCTATACCCAAGACCAAATATATTTGCTAGCAGAGCCAATACAGAGTGGGCACTGGGGTGGGCACTTGATGGCTAGCCACTCTTTTCCAGTCACTGGGACCTTCTAAGCCAACCACCAATACACAGATTGCAGGCTCTTCTGGCTGTGATGTGCATTAAGCTGATCGGCCTGACCCATGGCAGGCACCTTGGGTTTCCAAAGGAGCACCAATGGACATGCTACCTGAACAATGAACCCAGCAGCTCCCAGGACACTGCAAAGAAACCCGAGCCCTCTGCCATCCCCTGGCTGGTGCAGGCAAAGATGCTCCCCTGGCGATGAGACTCAGCTGAGTCACATATGCCCCCAAACTGACTAGATCAGGAAGTTTTATTCAGAAAGGCAGTGTTGCAAGTGCAGGCCCTGTTGCCACCTTGGGGCAAGTGACTGAAGTGCCTTGAGCCTTAGTTTGCCCTTACACAAAAATGGAACAATAGTAGTTCTGTAACTCGCAGACTTATGAGGACTAATGGAAATAGCACCCAGGAAGCCCCTGGCAAGTGCCTGGTGCAGAATAAAGCAGTCAGTAAATATTCCAGTAATTCAGAAGGACCAGGGCAGGCAGAGTTAGGTGAGAGCCTGCAGGCACCTCGTGCTGGCAGGAGCCCAACCTCCTCCAGATAGCCCATCCGCCCACTCGAGAATTCCTAAAATCCTTCAACCTCTCCCTTTGTAAGCAGCTGCCCTCCCATCTAAGATTCCTGCTGCCCTACCCACCCCCATCCCTGTCCTGGGCCTTTCCTGTCCCCTTGTCGTCTCATCGCCTCCCTCAGCCCGAAAACCATCCCTCACCACATAATGAACCCACCTGCCCTCCACTCTTCAAGACTCACAAATATTCATTAAATGCCACTCCATGCCAAAAGGCCCCAGCTGAGACACAGCACACCCACCACCCCAGGAGAAGCTCCCCACCTAATTCGCCTCCCACCAACCTCTTCCACGACCTGGTCTTCCTCTCACTGGACCCACTGTACGCCACAGCCCATTCTTCTCTCCTGTCAGTATCCTCGGGAGCTCCCTCTGGAAACCAGCCAACTTCTTACCCCTGAAGTTTTGCCTGCTCCCCTCTGCACTGCCCTCCCCATTTTCCTCCCTGAAGTCATGTCTTCCTCAGAGGTTAGTATTTTTCACCACCCTCCCCACCTGCCCCCAAATCCTACATGCTCAGCACCTCTCTCCCCAACTCATTCATTCATGTTTTTCAATCTTTAAGTATCCATTGGGCTGTGAACAAACCAAGCAGCCTCTGCCATCCTGAAGTACCAGCTTAATAGGAGACAGAAAAAAAGGAAAAATAAACAGGATCATCACAGATAGTGGAGATGCACTGAATGAAATCACAAGAAAGACCTGACAGGAAGGATCTGGGACAGGGAGAGCACTTCGGGTAGGGTCTGGGTAGGGTCTAGGAAGGCCTTGAGAGTTGATAAACACAGCTACTGCTATTAGCCACCTACTGTGTGACAACGTCAGCCGCTCTCCAGGAGTGACATTACAAAATCCTTGCATAAAATGTTCACCATCCCCATTTGCAGATAGAGAATTGAAGGTTCAGAGAGGTGAAGTAATTTGTCCAAGGTCACACAGTCATTAAGTGGCGCAGTCAGGATTTGAATGCAGGTCTGACGGCAAAGACAGTCTCTTACTCTTGTGCACTCCTGCTTCCCAAGGCCCTATTGGCCACTTGTCCTCCCTCAGAGCCCTACTTCTGATTGTCCCCTGCTCAGACTCCCCCCGAAAATACTTTTTTTCTTCTAATGACTGTCTTTACTAAGTTCTTGTACATGTTCTGAGTTTTACAGTCATTCTGCTACCCAATTGCCCTCAAAACAACCGCAGGAAGCAGGAGCTGTCACTCCATCCATCTTAAGTGTGAGGAAACTGAGGCCTAAACTCACACAGCTAGATCTAAACTCAGCTCTGCCCGACTCCCGGACCCAGGGCCCTAACCCCTGACCCCTAAGCTGTCCAGTCTAAGTAGTACCACCCCAGGAAACTGGGTGACCATCGTCCGGCCCTGGCAAGAACGAAGTCCGCATGCATAAACTAAAGTCGAGTCCCCTTACGTTACAGGTGGGGATACTGGCACTCCGAGAAACTAAACGACTAGTCCAAGGTCACACAGCCAGAAGCGACGGGGTCAGGGTGCGAACCCAAGCGCTCGAACTCGAGCGCCCTCGCTCTTAACCACCACACAGCTTTCCCCCGGGGCCCCCTCCGCCCCTCACTCCGCCCCTCACTCCGCTCTCACACCTCCCAGCGCTCCCGACCCGGGGCTACGCGCCCAGACCCTGTACCCAGCCCTGCGGCCTCCCCCTTCCGCCCCCCCGCACACTCACTTGAGATGGTCCAGGGAGTGGATATTGCGGGAGGACTTGCCGTGGCCCCCGCCCACCCAGCTCCGCGAGCGGCCAAACATGTCGGCGGCCCCGACCTGTCGCTCGCCTCACGGTCTCATGCCCGCTCGGCCGAGCGGCCCAGCGCCCGCGGCGGGCAGCACAAGCGAAGGAGGCAAAAGCGGGGGAGGCGGAGGGACCGCCAGCCACCTTCCTCCCCGGCCCACAGCCCAGCACTGACATTCAGCCGGAACCGGCCGTTCTACCGCCGCGCTTTACGGCCGCCGCCACGAAGAATGCTGGGAAATGCATTCCCCTGCGAGGCCCCCGGCGACAGGACTCCGCGAACGGACTACAAAGCCCGGCATGCACCACGAAACCGCGGGCCTGCGGCCTTCGGAAAGGGGCGGGGCGAGAGGAGAAGAGGTCTCTGACTCTTCCAGGTGGGAGGGAATGGGCGGGAATGTGCAGCCTGTGGGCGGAGCCCAGAAGAGGGAGTCGGTGAAGATGGGTGGAGAAAAGTCGCCGCGATGTTAACAAGTATGAGCTTTACGATAAGAATAGCTACTGCACGGCGTACATATGTGCCACTTCCCTAAGCACTTTACACATATTAAAGTGCTTGATTCTCACAACAACCCGTTGAGGTGGATGCTATTATTATCCCCATTTTATCGTCCAGGAAACTGAGTCATGGAGAGTTTGACTTATCTAAAGTCATGCACCCTTATTTTCATCTCCCCAATAAACCAAAACTGCGCCAAACCAGTAACCACTTTTTGCTTTTTCCACTTCAATTAAGAGAGAGCGAGAGAGAGAGAGAGAGCTGGAAAGGACTGCAAGCAACACTGTACCAAACTGAACATCTTGTACTTTCAGAGGATTTCTCTGATCTTCACCCAAAATCCATGCTATTTCCCAAACTACCACATTAAAAAAAAAAAAAAGGAAGCATCCGACTTTATACATGAGCCAAGAAGTATTTAAATTTCTCTCCTGGATTAAAAGTGGGAAGCTCTGTGGGGGCAAGAGCTGGTTCACCTTTCATTCATTAATTCATTCCTTCACTTATTTCTATATTATCAGTTATTTAAGGTATCCTGTGTCCCATTAACCATGCTCAAGAAAGAACTGGCCAAGGGCCAGTGTTCTCCCCAAAGCCTAGCACAAGGCTTGGCATGTTGTAGGTATTCAACAAATACTGGCAGAATGAACGAACAAGTGAAGGTTTGTTTCACCTTAAGCAGTTGGAGAAATGGAGCCCAGTGGAGGGTTAATGGTTTATCTTGCAATTCATAGAGAGGGGTAAGAGAAAGTCATGGAGAAAAAAGGGCAAGTTCTGGCCTCCAAAAAAAACACACCCAAGTCCAGCAGCTTTCAGGGTCCCTCCATTTCCCGTCTGTAAAAAGGGGTGGCCTGGTGCAGTGGCTCACGCCTATAATCCTAGCACTTTGGGAGGCCGAAGTGAGGGGATTGCCTTAGCCCACGGGTTCGACAACAGCCTGGGCAAACTGACGAGACCTCATCTCTACAGTAAATCAAAAAATTAGCCGGGCGTGGTGGCGCACGCCTGTGGTTCCGGTTTCTTGGAAGGCTGAGGCAGAAGGATCGCCGGAGCCCAGCAGGTCGAGGGTGACCGTGAGCGTGCCACTGCGCTCCAGCCTGGACGATGGAGTGAGACTCTGACTCGAAAAAAAAGGAACAAAGTGGGGGGAGGGGTGAACGTACTACACTGCCTCGTTTGCCTCCAAGTAAGCAATGCATGCAAAGCACCCGACTCAGTGTGGACTGAGATTTAAAGCTTCGTTGTGCAGCTTTGAAAGGCACTTTGCGGAAGATCAGTTACCTGAAGAATGCACAACCTTGGCCAAGAGCGCGGGAATGAGCGGGTGCAGGAGTCTCACTTTTCTGTGTATTTCCTGGTTGTTCGAATGTTTAGCCACGTACGTTATTACTGCTTTTGAACATGATTTACTAAGTAAAAAGAAACAAAAAGCAATCTTACGGCTGAAAATCTGAACTACCTCGGAATCTCTTTATACACGTGTTTCCTAGCTCCCCCGGTGTGCAGAGACCTTCCAGCAGCCAGAACTTGGAGAGGTAAAGGGGACACATTGATCTCCACCATGAAAATGGGCGCTTTGGGAATGCTCAAGATTTTCAGTGGAACTGTCCACCGCCCCTTCCCTGCCCTACCTCCTTTTATTTTATTTATTTATTTTTTTAGTTGAAGTCTCACTCTGTCGCCCAGACTGGAGTGCAGTGGCCGCTCCCGGCCACCGCAGCCTCGACCTGCTGGGCTCCGGCGATCCTTCCGCCTCAGCCTTCCAAGGAGCTGGAATTACAGGAATGCGCTACCACGCCCAGCTGATTTTTTGATTTTTTGTAGAGAGATGAGGTCTCGCTGCCCAGGCGGGTCTCGAACCCGCGGTCTCAGGCAATCCACTCACCTCAGCCTCCCAAAGGCGCGGGATTACAGGCTGAGCCACCGAGCCCGGCCCTACCTCCTTTTAAACGACAAACTGAGTCCCAAAGAGACTCAGTTGGGCATGGTTTCATACCCAAGGTTTCATACCAAGGTGCAGAGGAAGCCGGCGTTCTCCTTCGGCTTTTGTAAACCTAGATATGTGCAGGTTTGAATTGCGTTCGGTCTCTTTTCCCTCTTCCCACTCCCTCCATCCGCCGCGCGAATCCGATTTGCGATTCGAGGACAGACCCGAACCCCGAAAGCCAAATCCAAAGAGCCCCCCGGAAGGCGGAGCAAAGAAGTACCCGCCCCCTGTCGGCTTGGGCCAATGAGCGCGGGCTTCAGGTCGGCCAATGAGCGCTGGCCGGGAG